CCCCCACCTGGCTCCTGCAGCCAGTCTGGCACCAACAGCATGTTGGCCTCCTCCCCCTCCACGCTCTTGTGCCAGTCGTTGTCCACCAGCACGCACCGCGCCAGGTCTAGGCCGTGGTGCGCCAGCGGCTTGACGGTCGACCACTCCTTGCCGTCGGGGCGCTCGCGCCAGCGGGGGTCCGGGGTGCAGTGGTCGCGGTGCATGATCACCTCAAACAGGGGGGCGTCCGGGACTGGAGATGTACAAAGGGGAAGGATTGCGTGCAGAAAGTTGGCAGCACATACATGGCGGAAGGGTTTTCTGATGGCATATGCCCAGGAAATATCCCGCGTGGCGCTGTGTGCCCGCTCGCCCGCCCACCCACTCACTCACCCACACCCAAGATACCCTCAAGTGAACCAGGACCACAACACAGACTCGGGGCCAGCATCCCAACCAGGATTGCAGGCGCTCGTGAGACTCAGCTACCATAAAGCCAGCGGCAACGCCCCTGCTATGCCTCGCCCCGCCCCACCCTACCCCGCCCGGCCACACAGCGCAGCGCCCGCTCACCCTCCACGCCCTGCTGCCTCATGGCCAGCAGCTCCGAGCGCACCAGCCCCAGCGCGCGGTTGACGGTGCGCAGTGTCGCGCTGGAGTAGATGCCCAGGCGGAAGTGCTGGCGCAGCGCCAGCAGGCGCTCAATGTGGGGCCGCACCACGTGGTCGCGGCGGATGTAGCGGCCCTCCTCGCGCGGCGGGGTGTGGTCCGTGAGCACGCCTGGGCGGGATAACGAGGTGGAGGGGGCGCGGTGACCAAGCCGCTTGCGTGTAAGCGGGATGGGTCGACGGAAACGAGCGCAGGTGCTTTCGCCAACCAGCACAAGCCTTGTGAACATGGGGGGCATCTCCTGCTTGCGGCACGCACTGCCACCAGCGCACCGTTCAGGTCAAACAGCAGCAGGATACGGTCGTCAAGCTCGCCGCCGTGGTGCTGGTGGTGGTGATGGTGCTGCTGCTGCTGCTGCTGCTGCTGCTGCTGCTGCTGCTGCTGCTGGTGGTGGTGGCTGTCATGCTGCGGCGCCGGCTGCGCCGGCTCACGATGCTGCAGAGCGAGCGCCACTTTCGACGGCCGCTCGCCAGGGGCTCCACCAGCGTGATCGTAGGATTCATGGTGCTCTCTTTCATGTTCTTCATCCATCTGTTGCGCGCATCAGGGCCACCCAGGCAGATGCGGGTGTGGCACCAGCTGCACCGGCCTGCTGCTTTCCCCGAGAGTTCGTCCGAGGGAGCAGACCCTTGCACGCGAGATGATCAAAGCGACATATCAACCCTTTCTGCTTCCTTCCAGCCGCCTACCGCGTCGTCGTCAGCCAGGTGGAGCTGAAGGTCCTCCTCCTCGGCTCCACTGCCAAAGCTACCTTCTCTGTCGGCGCCCTTTACGTGATCACTCACCATGCGCGATGTTACAAGCTGCGAACGAGCAGCTATACATTGCCTGACAAGGCCTCCGATACACAACGGCACCTGTTGTTGACTGTCAGGCACTTACTATAATTCTATAAACTTATGTGAGAAGTATAATTCGTATCCATGCCCCCCCATGCGAGTATCACACTGCTGGGAGCGAAGACTGAAGGACGCGTTGACTGCCCTCACCCACGCTCCCACGTGCGCTACAGTAAGCAAGTAAATCTTGCTTGACAACCTCAAACCGATGACAAACTTGTCAGTACACGGCGCTGTTGTAGGATAAGGTGTCTCCCTCTCCGGTGCTCCCTCGCCTGGAGCAACAATGAGGCAGGGGCCAATGGCTGCCACGCGAAGGCACGTGGTGACGAGTATAGACAATGGGGTGCTTCTGGCGCGGGCGGCACCCGCTGGGCAAGTCGGGTTCGGGATCACATGGCGGGCAAGAGTAGGCGCAACTCGCGCCAGGGAAATGGCGTGTACACAGATAACATGTAGCCTATCTAGGCGCGCGGACGACGTGCAAGCAGGTGCGACTCAGCACCGGGCGCGCCGATCAAGGGCTCGGCTGTGCTTGTGTCGTGCTCCTGCTGCACTGGGGCAGCTGAGCTTGGGGCCGCAGGCAGCGACCCCTCGGCACACATGCAACACGGTGCAGTGACCAAGCTGCCCAAGCCAGCGCCGCGCAGCACGCTGCGCATGGGCCTTCCCAGCAAAGGGCGCATGGCGGAAGACACCATGCAGCTGCTCAAGGTTGGGGGGCGGATGCACCCTGCTATTGTGGGCACGGGCTTGGATTGCCGCTGTGGATGGAGGGTATGCGTGGTTATGCTTGCGTTGGTGATACAGCCGGTGCAGTTGGGGCACGGCTGGCCTGGACAAAACAAGGTAGTCACACCAACTATATGTGTCGGTAGGTGTCCTGTACCTTGTACAAGGCATGCGTGTGCCGGCCCGCGTTGGTATGGTCCGCAGGACTCTGCTCTGTCGGTGTACAAGCCCAACTCGAGGCAGTACGTGGCGTCCATCCCACAGGTAGGTGATGTGTAATACAGTGGTGACCATGGCATCAGAGGTCACCGCTTGTCGCAGGCCCCTCGCTGCGAGCACAAGGCACCAACCCCGCAGCGCTCATCCGCGCGTCCCGGGATGCAGCTTCGGCCGCCCAATTTTTTTCAGCGGCAAAGTTCGAACACCCCACCTGCCCAGTTGCTCTTACACCTTTGCTGCGCCAGATCCCCGGGCTTGAGGTGTGGTTCCAGCGCGCCAGCGACGTCGTGCGCAAGCTGCGGCTAGGGGACATCGACCTCGGCATCGTGGGCACAGACATGTACGAGGTGGGCGTCCACCTACTGTCCCTGCATACCACAGTAGTCAAGACACATATGCTGCTTCATGAGGGCGCGACGAGTCGAGGGGTGCCAACAGTTATGCATGGGCATGTGCTTCGCAAGCGCATGGTTTGGGGGATGACCGTCTGCAACTAGCAGGTTGGCGGTGCAGACTGTGAATGCAGCCACCCCTGGCGCCGCGCCTCGTAGCCCCGGACTCTTCTCTGGCCCTCGCAGCCATGCCCTTCACCCCAGACCTGCCTGGCAACCTGCAGCCCAACCCACATCCCATGCCTGCGGCTACGGCACCTTGCACTCTCCAAGTGCAGCCGGCTTGCCCGGCCACCCCAGTCACATTCATTGTCTCAGCCACCCCTCAACTCCACGCATCCAGGAGCTGGGGGAGGGTGACTCAGACCTGGTGGTGGTGCACGAGGCCCTCAACTTTGGACACTGCCACCTGGCCCTCGGGGTGCCCATGTTCGGGCGGTTCGAGCGCGTGGACACTCTGCAGCAGCTGCGGGACATGGGCTGGAGCGAGGAGCAGCCCCTGAGGGTGGTCACAGGTGCGCTCAAATCTGCGTAGGCGCGAGCAGGCGGGCGTGCACTGTGTTTTGGTGCTGATTGACGGAACGCACTGTCCGCCTGTGGTGGGATCCATGCAGCTGTACAGAGCAGAGCCTCCGTCGACACCCTATACTGCGCCGCAGGCTACACGTCCATTGCCCGCCGCTTTTTTGCCGCCGCTGGCTTTGAGCACGTGGCGCTGCTGGCGGCGGATGGCGCGCTGGAGGCGGCGCCGGCCATGGGCACCGCCGACATCATTCTCGACCTGGTGTCAACAGGCGCGGCTGTGGCTTGTCGATGGGCGCGTGGTCAGGCCACTTGAGGGCAGACAGAGGCGTTTAGGCAGGTTTTCAAGGGCACATGGTCTCACGATTGGGTGTGTGCACCGTTATCGCCCCAACGCCTTCCTGTTGAAATGCCTGCCCTGCCGTCTGCTCCCTACTCCGCCCCTTGTCTTGCTCAACCCTTTGCACCAGGTGTGACCCTCAAGGAGAACAATCTGAAAGAGATAGAAGGCGGACACATCCTAGAATCACAGGCGCGCGGGGCTCATCAGCACCAAATCAACTCTGGGAATCCTCAAATCAACACAGTATCCACTTCCTGTCAACCCTTTGCGCCTTAGTGCGTTCGGAATCCGCCGTTCCTCAAGCATGTAACCCTCAACCTAACCTCCTGCCATCGCCACCACGTGCAGGGCGTGCTTGTTGCCAACCGCCGGTCGCTGTTGGAGCGGCCGGGGCTGTTGGGCATCACCAGGGAGCTGCTGGAGCGATTCGACGCGCACCTCAAGGCCGCGCAATTCTACTCTGGTGGGGCTATGACTGCTTGAGTCGGCTGTTGCATGCGGAGACTAAGCCAAGGGCGTGAATGGATTGGATGCTCCAACGGGGAAATGAGCCAGAGGCAGGCACGCGTCCACCAGAGAGAAACCAACGCTGGGCGCAACTGTGGAAGTGACAGGTGCCGCTGGCATGGCCAGGCATTACGATGACCCCAACGCAGCACCGGCCCAGGGGGCGGGGAATGACTGGGATGGTCACCGGTAAACCGCTTCTGCCATGTGTGGCGCATGCCTGTGCCATCTCCTACCTGTACCTCTTCAGTCACCGCCAACATGCGCGGCGAGACCCCGGAGGCGGTTTCCACCCTGCTGCTGCAGGACGACGGCCTGCAAGGCCTGCAGGTGAGAGCAGCCCTGGTGCTGTGAGTGACGGGGGAGGAGGGGCGTCACCGGTGGATAGGCGCACGTGGCAGGCCGCTCAGTAGCTGCGCTGCGCAGCCCTGCAGCGCGAGTTGCTTGGCAGTCAACGTGTCTGACCCCTCCCTTACGTAGCATCGACGCATCAACCACCAACCCTGTGCCTTCTGCCTTGCCACACTTCTGCTGCGCCCTCACCACCGCAGGGCCCAACCGTGAGCCCAGTGTACACGATCACAGGGGACGATGCACGCGCGGAGCAGCGCGGCTTCTTCGCATGCGTCATCTGCGTGCCCAAGAAGAAGCTTTACTCATCAGTCAAGGTCCTGCAAAAGGTGGGCGCATATTGGGTGTTCAAGGGCTCGGGAACTGCGCACACGTGAGCACCTTGCAGTGCCGGTGGCACGCACGGCGGCGCTAGACCCATCACGCCTCGCCATCAGCACGACGCCCTTCAGGCAGCACCATTCAGCACAGACACCCAGCCCCCCGACCACACACAGCCACCCTTTCCCCAGACAAACACAACCCAGCGTGTGTGCAAGCGCGCGCACCATACTCACATCCAACAAGCTTGCTTATGCGAGCATGTCCTGTCGGCGTGCCAACTTCGAATCTCACTGAGTCCCCACCTTCATCACCCTCTGCCCCTTCCACCCTACAACCACAGCTTGGCGGCAGCGGGGTGCTGGTGCAGCCGATGACATACATATTTGACGAGGAGCCGGAGAGGTGGCAGCGCCTGCTTGCCACCCTGGAGATCGATGAAGACACGGCAGGGCTCATTAACGGCGGCCACGGCGCTCCTGCGTCCAACGGCACGCGGTGACCAGGGCTGCGTCCCGCACTGCACAAATGCACAGCCCGCAGTACAAGGTTCGAATCTGGGCGTAGTGTGTTTGGCGCCTCAGCCGTGCGGAATGCATGGACGCATCCACCGGCAGCGCGCCGCTGGACTGTTCCGATATGGTTGACTCGCACGCATGTCCAGGGAATGTTGCGGCTGCATCAGCTGCCTGGACATGAGGATAGCTGTGCGGCCCCATAGCGCTACTAAACACTCAAGGTACCTTTGATTTGCCTGTGCCATGTCCATGCAATCCCCTCGCTTCCTTTGGACGCGGGTCACCAAGCTCGTTCTCAGGTTACTTCCGTCCCCGCTTCATGCGGCAGCCTCCGGATCTGTAGCATGGATTGCGATCAAGTACACACTGCTGGATTCAATCACATGTAATATTTGAGCCGGCTGTGCACGTCCAGTGATCTACACAAAGTCTTCCAGCAATCTGATACATGCCTCGCAGCCTGAAATATCAGCCAATTTAGAGTGCAGAGAAGGAGAACAATCCATGCTTTTACCCGGGCCGCTCGCTCTAGTGGGCGTAGTTGCCGGGATCAGCTGGGCTCGGCGCCACGTTGCTGGGCTCCGCAACTGCAGCCATCCGCAGCGCGCCTTCCGCCGCCGTCTGCTCGACAACAGCGACGCGCCCTTCCTACACCATGGCAACGACGACGCCGCCGTTGCGGCCGGGGTAGAGCAGCGGCATCCGCATGCAGACGCGATTGAGCGGCTATTAGAAGACCTCCCGCTTCCCTCCGCCGCGCGGCGCGGCGCGCCGCCCCCTCTGCCGGCCCCGCCCATGGAGGACTGCCCTCTAGTCTGGGTGGCAGACAAGCAGGCGCTGCAGGAAATGGTGCGCCACCTCAGCGCCGAGCCGCGGTTCGCTTTGGACGTCGAGCACAGCCCCAGGGCGTACCACGGCATCACATGCCTCATCCAAATTTCCACGGGTGCGCAGGGCCGGGTCGGCGTGCGGCAGGCAGAAATAGGCCAGGTTACGAGGGAGGCCTGCCTGGGCATGGCTCAGCGGTTGATGCGGCTGCCGGTGATTGTGAAAGGGCGCGTTTGGGGGGGGGGGCTGTCGGAGGTGTTGGGCAGGGCCTGCATTTTAGAACGGGACCGTCGTCCAGACCGGCATCGCGCATCGTGCACGCATGATGCATGCATGCGCACATGCGTGCAATGGCACGCCACCATCCGTTTGCATGCGAGAGTCGCTCACCCAACCCTCAAGGAGCTATTCTCCCGCTGTCAACAAAAGAACGATGACCCCGAACCATCAGCTCACAAACACACATCTGCGTGGCGCTCAACCACTGCCGCACCACCCCACAGGCGCAGTGGATTATCTTGTCGACGCCCTGGCGCTGCATGACTCACTGGGGCAGCTGCTGGGCCCGCTGCTGGCGGACCCCCGCGTGCTCAAGGTGATGCACGGCTGCGCCAACGACATCTCGTGGCTGCAGCAGCTGGGGTGCTACCTGGTCAACGTTTTCGACACCGAGAAGGCCGCGCAGGTGGGGGTTGAGCGTGGTGTTGCGCAGTGATTGGTGCCGTGACGTATGAGCCTGATGTGCCCTCAACCACAGCGTGGTGCTATGCATGCGGTGTGGGTGGGTGGTTGGGTGTGATGGCAGGGAACCAGGTGTGGGACCGTGTTAGAGGACGGCGCCGTGCGTGGTGGGAGCGCTTCAGAACATTCTCACTGTGCTGCTGCTGGCGGCGGCTGCCCTCAGCAACACTGCTGTAGCCCTGTGCCCCAGGCGCTGCTGGGTGATTGCCTGGCAGCCTGTTCCGTGTTGAGTCCACGCCAACGCCGCATATATTGTATGCATGACACATGACCCCACTTGATGCAGGTTCTCGGCAAGGAGGAGCGCAACCTGGCCTGCCTCCTGCGGCAGTTCTGCGGAGTGGTCCAGGACAAGCGCTACCAGTCCGCGGACTGGCGCACGCGCCCGCTACCTGTGCAGCTTCTCGCCTACGCGCGGGGCGACGTGCACTGGCTGCTGCACCTCGCAGACTGCCTGGTGCTGCGGCTGGTGGCCGACGGCGCCACCGCGGGGGCGGCTGCAGCGGCCGGCAAGGAGCGGGTGCGCGGCCAGAACCGTCGCTACAAGCGGCGGGAGGCAGCTGCGGCGGCGGCAGCGGCCGCTGCGGCAGCTGTCACGACCTCCGCCTGGCAGGACGCGGGGCTGAGCCAGGCTGGGGCTGAGTTTTTTGCCGAGGCTCAGGATCACTTGCGACAGGAGAGCAGTGTTGATGATTCGAGTGGGGTGGAGCACGAACAGCAGGGTGTGCTAAGTGAGCAGGAGCAGGAGCAGGAGCAGAAGCAGAATGGTAGCCCCTCCGCACAAGCAGGGGCGGTCCTGGCTGCGTTGGCTGGAGGGGCCGGGGGCGTGGCTGCACCCCTGCCTTCATCTGCAGCCGCAGGTGCCGGCGCGCCCATAGCGTCAGAGGCTGCGCGGCCGCTGGACGCAGCAGCGGCAGCGGCCGAGCCGCCGGCAGAGGTGGTGCACGTCCAGGGACACCAGGAGGTATCTGCAAAGGCATACCCACTGCTGGCGTCCGCCATGCGCAAGAGCCAGGCCATGACCCAGCGCCTCTGGCAGAAGACGCCCTCCGCCATCGCCGTCCGCAACGCGGCGAGCGCGGTGCTGCGGCGCTACTGGCAGCAGCTGCAGATGCAGCAGCGCCTGCTCGACGGCGCCGCGCCCGCTTCTGCCCCAGCGCCCGCGTCGGGCCTTCCGACGCCGCCGGCGACCGCCACGCTGCCGCCGCCGCCGCCGCCGCCGTCGCCGCTGCCGGACGAGCCCGCGGACGCGCCCACCGCGCTCGGCGCCGTGCGCCTGCCCGCCCGCCCGGCAGGCGAACCTGCCGCGCTGCAGGCCGCGGCATGGCAGGTGGACGGCGACGCGCAGGTCCTGGCTGTGAGGGACGCGGTGTACGCGCTGTGCGCGTGGCGTGACAGGGCGGCGCGACACGAGGACGAGGGGCCGCAGTTTGTGCTGCTTGACGCTGCGCTGCTGGATCTCGCGCGGTCGCCCCCGCCAGACCGCCGCTCGCTGCTGCGCCGCGCCGCCGCGCACGCCGCGACGCAGTCGCTCGCGGCGGCCGCGCAGTCGCCGCTCTGCGCGCAGCGCTACGAGGCCTCGCGGGCGCTGCGGCGCGGCGCGGGCCGCGTGCTGGCGCTGCTGCGGGACGCGCGCGAGGGGAAGCTTCCCGCCCCGGAGGCCCACGGGGACCCGCTGCTCGGCGCCGCGACCGGCGGCCACGCGGGCCGCGGCGGCGGTGCGGCCGGGCGCGCAGCGCTGCAGGGGCCGGCGGCGAAGGCGGCGGCTGACGAGGCGCGGGCAGCAAAGCGGGTGGAGCGGATGATCAACAAATTCAGTGTGAAGAGCCAGGTGTACGAAAACTGCCGGATGCTGAGTCAGAGCGGGGAGCTGCTCTGTTACTGCGACACCAAGGTAGAGGGGGGGCATCCACCTTTGAGAGGGTGCTCATGTGATTGGTCGCGCTTGGCGCGCGGGCGCTGCGGCTCCCTGCTTGTCAGCTGGCTGCTGCCTGGCGGCACTGACTGGCGGCCTGGGACCTGGGTGCGGCAGAGAGGCAGCGCAGGCCTCCATTTGCTAGTAGGCTTCACCGCTCACCGCCCTTCTCTTTCTGCCCTTTCTTTCTTTCTACAACGCCCGCCCCCACCCAACCCAACGACGTCAGAAGCTGCAGTGGTACCTGGAGAAGGGCATTGCGGAGAAGGTGCGGCGGGGGGAAGCTGCCGAGCAGGACCAAACGCTCGGTCGGCTGCAGGGTTGCCCGCAGGATCGCGCTGAACCTGCCCTTAAGGGCAGTTCGCGGCGCAACTGCATGCATGGCGGGATGGTGGGGGTTGGAAGGCGGGCAGCAGACCATGCAGGCTGCAGAACCTAGTTTGGAATGATTCCGTACTCACGGCTTCACCGGGATGCCTTGAGTGCAGGCTCAAGGGGAGCCAGCCGCCCCCCCACCCCACGTGGCTCGCGTTCCCTCCTCCCCCTGCGTCCCCTGACACCCATCCCCGCAGGTGTGCGCCGACCCCCCCACCATCCGTCTGCTGTTTGAGCACACTACCACGGACCAGGACAGGGGCGCTGACGCCTTCTACACGGCCTCGCGCGAGAACCGCTGCGTGGTGTGCGGGGAGGGCGGCCACTACCTCAGGTGAGGGTACGTGTGTGTGTATGTGGGGGGGAGAAGGGGGGCAAGGTGAGCGGCTTCCCACCCAACCTGGCTAAGAGGGGGTCTAGATGTACATGGGGGAGGGGAGGAAGGGCGGGGTAGGAGAGGGGGCGGTGGTTGAATCGGGTGTGATGTTACGAGTTACCTGACTACTGGGGCCTTTGGTGGGGTTGGGGCGGCTGAGCGGTCGCCTGTGTATGCCCTGGCCACCAGGGGCTGCTGGGTTCACGTGGCGGCTGAGCCACTGCAGTTGCTGCCACGGGTTTTTTTGTGCAAGGCGCTCGTTGAGGTGGCAGCAGCAGCAAGGACAAAGTGACTGGTCAGCACATGCATGGGTCAAGCAGCACGACCGCACGGCACATCGACCTGCCTGCCGCGCACATTCGCCCTGCCTGAGCGGCAACACCCCTTGCTTCCCCCATCGCCCGCATCAGGTACCGCATCGTGCCGCAGTGCTACCGCCGCAACATGCCGGCCACGCTCAAGGCCCACCGCTCCCACGACGTGAGGGCGCCCCACCTCCCGCCCGCTGCATCTTGTTGCCAGCTTGTTGCTGAATGTGTGGCGGCCCGGCCTGGCAACGTATACAGCCAGGCTGCTGCGCTGTTTGTCACTCCGGCAGACACACCGCGCGAGTGTCTGCCACCGCTGCTGCTCATGCTCCCGCCGCGACCTCCTCCGATTGATTACTGGAGTTCTTTTCCGACTGCACGACCCTCACCTGACCTTACCATCTTGCCCCCCCCCCCAAAAAAAAAACAAAACAGATCGTGCTGCTTTGTGTGTTCTGCCACCAGGCCGCCCACAAATCCGCGGACCAGGTCAAGCGCGCCCTGGCCAGGGAGTTTGGGGTGCCCCTGCACCCGGCCCTGGTGCTCACACAGGACGGCGGCGGCGGCGAGGGTGTCGGAGGCCTGGGCGTCGGCGGCTTTGCAGAAGGCGGCAGTGGCGGCAGTGGGGGCGGCGGCCGGCCGGCTGGCGCGGCGCTGGCGGCGGCGCGGCGTGAGGCGCTGGCGCGCAACGCGCGTCACGCGGCGATTGCGCTGCACAGCGGTGGCGACAAGATACCAGAGGCCAGGTGGGGCGGGGTTGTGTGTGGCTTTGTGTGGCGGACACTTGTCTAGTGTGAGTGTGTGTGTGTGTGTGTACGTGCGCGCGTGCGTGCGTGTGTGTCGTTCATGTTGCATATGTGGTGCGTCTGTGGGGTGAGTGATGCAGGGTGTGGCTTTGGGATGCCCCACACCTATATTGTAGGCCAGGCAGTCGACAAGGGCCAGCTTCGGGTGGTGGCGGCCTCCAGCCCTTCGCGGCCCTCCCCCCCTTCAATTTGCTGTCACATCCTCTTACTGCGTGCGACACACACGCAAGCACGCACGCACAGCACACACACACACACACACATACACACACATAGCACATGCGCAGTAACGGCTTATGTGAACACACACACCCACACACGTATGCATACACTCCAAATCTCTTTCACAGACATGCACCCGCACCCGTACACGCACGCCCCCCCCCTCACCCCAGGCGCCGGATGCTGGAGGGCTGGGTGAAAGCCTACCTGGGGCGCGCCCCCGCGGAGGAGCCCCCTGGTCTGCGGCCGGGGGATCTGGAGGCAGGCATACTGGCCGGCCTGAGCGGGCGCCAGCGGGAAAAGACCATCAGGAAGCTTCGGCTGAAGCTGCCGGTTGCGGCGGAAGACGCAGGGGCGGAGGGCGGCGGCGATATGGGGCTAGCGGCGAGCGGCGACGAGCGGCGCGTGGCGGGGGCGTTTCCGTCTACAGCAGCGGAGGAGGGGGTGGGGGTGGGGT